CCCTCCTCCTATTTAAGATCACGCTCAGCAGCATCCAGACGCGGCAGGCGACGCTTTTCCCACCTCTCCGTCCCTCCTACGCATCCCTCGCGCCAACGATGGGATCAAACGCCTCCACAACACCCAAACCTCAGCTGAATTTTCTCAGAGGGGGTAAAATTCTCTCGCTGAGGGCTCTGCGGTAACGAACCGCGAAGGGATGGATCAGCAGGGTCCACGGATGCTCCTCCAAGAGCCTGCCAAAGGGCCAAATTCCCAGGGATGAGCTTAAATAGAGCCCCTGGTCCACGGGCAAGGGGTGGGGGGTCCCACGTGGAGCTGCTTAGGGCCGTTAACGCTCATTAGGGCCCCCAGGCCTTGGAAAAATCCACTGTCGTCGGGTTTGGAGAAGCTGAGTTGCTTTTCCAAGCACAAGGAGCCCAAAAGCAGCTGCAGGCTGTTGCTCTGATGGTGAGATTTAGGCAGGAATTTGGGGTGGAAAAGCGGATTTTGGCGATGCGACGCTGCTGCCGGCACTTGTGGGACAGTGGGCGGGAGAAGAGCAGGAGAGAAAGCGATGTCCTGAATGCAAAAGTCAAAGTCAGGGGGTCCCTCGGGGGTATCCAACCCCACACCGCTCCTTGCACACAATTCTTCGCTAAATTATTCTTTAACACCAAAAAAAACCCTCACAACCCAGCGCCCCAGGTGCGAAACCATCCCACAAGTTTCACTCTGAGTGTGCGCGGAGCGCTGCGCCGGATAATCGCGGCAACACCCTCCCTCCCCCCGAGAACACTCGCAAACAAATAACGGCGGGCGCGTTATTGGCTGGTTTTCTCAGAAAAACACGTCGCTCTGTTACCCGGCCTCAGCCGAAGTCACGTCCGCTTCGGCACGCGGGAGGATTCCGATTGGCAGCGGCTCTTCCACGTGCCGCAGGTTGATGGTCCGTGGGGTTGAGAAAATTAGGGGTTTCTTGTCTTAAAACGGAGGGGGAGGGTGTTGCTGGGAAAGCCGCGGAGGGGAGGAGAGGAGGATGTTTACCACTTCGGTGCTACGGAACCCGATTTGGGTTGAGGGTTTGGTGGGTCTGGGGGCTCAGCACAACCCAAGGGGAGGGTCTTTGCAGGAAAATGAAGGACAACGATGATTTTAAAAGGTGATGCACAAAGTGCCAAGGGGGAAGAAAAATATATACACACGCACACACTCCCCGTTTCCTTAATCGCAGGCGAGAAAAAGAAGAAAACTGGAAGAAAACTAAAGGGGGTGAGGGGAAATGGACACATTGCTCGGCTCAGCCCTAGAACCGCGAGACGGCATCCTGCCGAAAAGGAGAATCGAAAGCCGACGTCGAAGTATTTACTGTCCCGCAGACGCGGGGACTGGCGGGACGAGGAAGCCGGCGGTTGGTCCGTTTGAATAAGACGGAGCTGAAGTGGGCAGCGATGGATGTGTCCTGGGGGGGGTTAACTTGAAGAAGGGAGACCTCCCCGTGGCGGGGGGGGGGTGCTTAACTCTATTCCCCTGGGTGTTTTGGCGGGGGGGGGTTGCTTAACTCTATTCCCATGGCTGTGCCCTTTGATTAATAAACTGAAAGCGTTTTTGTTAATGAGCAATGAAGGCAGGCTGGGTTACGAGTGCCGCACCCCGAGGGGAGGTTGGTGCAGGGGTTAATTCTCAAGGGTGTCTATTTTTT